ACCGTTAAGTTTTCACTTTCCCAGATTAATTTTTTGTCTTTATTAATTTAAAAGAAATCTTATATTGTAAATGGTCAGTGAGCTAGGCAACAAAAAATGCGCATTAACTTCCCATCACTTCCACAAAATCTTGATAATCTGATTTAATGATTCACGAAATGGCATTAACATTGACATTGGTTATACTCGAATTAAATCAAATTAAAGAGAGTGAAAAATGTTGATGTATAAACATTTTGATACATTTCAATATCGAATACAGCACGATTCCACATATAAATATGCAGCCGTTTATATAAAGTTTTTTTTTTCTCTCCATCTAACTCAATTGTAAACGTATCATGATGTCTATTATTGTTATTTCTTTAAGTCTTATTTATTTACAAGTTATGAGATTCCACAAATGAAGATAAGGCAAGCCATCATTCAAATCATTTTTCTCATCATATCCAATGCATATCATTAATTTGTTCACACTTAAGAATAAATTATCGACGTTAGTTCTGCGAGAATAATTGCATAATAAATATGAGAGCTGATTGCACGATGACTTGTGACAGGCTGGACTGACTTGATTGTTATAATGATCAGTCATTATTATTTTAATAAGCATCGATGCGCATTTATTAAGTTAATTGAGACATAGATCAGAATTTTCCAAAATTTAAATTTTTAAAAGCCTTTTAAAGGTTAAAATGTGAATTTCAAAAGGAAAAATTTGAAATGTCTGAATTCGTTAAAATTTTAATTTTCAACAGCCGTTAAAATTAGAATTTTTAAAAGTCGTTTAAATTTGAATTTGTAAAAGCCGTTCAAATTTCAAAGGTTAAAATGTGAATTTTAAATGTAAAAATTTGAAATGTCTGAATTCGTTGAAATTTTAATTTTCAACAGCCGTTAAAATTTTAATTTTTAAAAGTCATTTAAATTTGAATTTTTAAAAGCCGTTCAAATTTCAAAGGTTAAAATGTGAATTTTAAATGTAAAAATTTGAAATGTCTGAATTCGTTGAAATTTTAATTTTCAACAGCCGTTAAAATTTGAATTTTTAAAAGTCATTTAAATTTGAATTTTTAAAAGCCGTTCAAATTTCAAAGGTTAAACTGTGAATTTTAAAAGTAAAAATTTGAAATGTCTGAATTCGTTGAAATTTTAATTTTCAACAGCCGTTAAAATTTTAATTTTTAAAAGTCGTTTAAATTTGAATTTTTAAAAGCCGTTCAAATTTCAAAGGTTAAAATGTGAATTTTAAAAGTAAAAATTTGAAATGTCTGAATTCGTTGAAATTTTAATTTTCAACAGCCGTTAAAATTTGAATTTTTAAAAGTCATTTAAATTTGAATTTTTAAAAGCCGTTCAAATCTGAAAGGTTAAACTGTGAATTTTAAAAGTAAAAATTTGAAATGTCTGAATTCGTTGAAATTTTAATTTTCAACAGCCGTTAAAATTTTAATTTTTAAAAGTCGTTTAAATTTGAATTTTTAAAAGCCGTTCAAATTTCAAAGGTTAAAATGTGAATTTTAAAAGTCGTCAAAATTTGACTTTTTAACAGTCGTTGAAATTTGAATTTTTATTAATCGTTAACATTTGAAATTTCTAAATTCAATAAAATTTGAAATTTCTAAATTCATTAAAATTTGAATTTTCAACAGCCGTTAAAATTTGAATTTTTAAAAGTCGTTGAAATTTGAAATTTCAAAAGTCGTTAAAATTTGAAATTTCAAAAGTCGTTAAAGTTTGAATTTTTAAATTTCCTCAACAATATCAGAACACAAACCACATCACATAGCTCAATTCCTAGACAGTAAATAAATTTTCAATCCTCGTGACCTCACATATCCAACCACTGAGTCTCAAAAGCCACCAAATCGACACAAAATTGACAGATACAGATAATTTGATTAGTTCCTAGAGCAATTCAAAAAATACACAACTTTAAGTGCTTAGCAATTTACGGGCTTAGATCCTAATAGCTCATGCATTCAATACGTCAAATACAAAATTTCTAGGAGAGTCTGTGCTTAAAATTTTCACAGCTTGAGTTTCAAAACATAAATCCATTAATAATTCTCAAAAAAACTAAGCATTGCCATTTGTGGAGGAAGGAAAAGCTTGCAAAAAAATATTCAACATGATCAAAAAAGATAGATTTGCGTACGGCAAAGAATAAAAATATTTAAAACCACATTATTGGTGGCATTTTGTAATAAATTGGCGACTGTTGCTAATAATAATGAATAACTTTTTAATCTCTTCTCGACACTTCATTTAATGTGAGCTAAAAATAATCGAATAAAGCAAAAATAAGCATCAATCTATTAATTATGCACAGTAGGAATGCTAAAATAAATTAAAAAACTATTTCGTGCAATTATTTATTGCATTTATATTTTTAAGCAAGTCTCAATCGATCTTATTCTTATTTATTTTTTGCTTTACTGATTGATTGTAGGGATGTGAAAAGCAATTTGTATATTGTGCCTTATCACTGATTTTGGATCTGTTTTAATTATAATTAATATAGACTTTTCAGTCTGTGGAATAATTGGAATTTTTTTTTATTGATTATTGTCGGCTTTTAATTGAGTGAAAAATGTTAAATGACTTGTGAATTTATGGATTTTATGTTCTAGATTTTGTGAAATTGAATTTTTTTTATATTCACACCGTTTTCACGTGTGAATCTATTGGTTTTGTTCAGATTGAAAAATCAGTTTTTCGCATTTTGTGAGAAAACAAAGCAAAATTGGTTATAAAAGGTCATAGAAGAAAAGTTTGTGCCTGAAATTTTACATCATTTTTAAAAAACAGATTTCAAAATGGTTGTGGCATTGCTGAGAAAATCGCAAAATACGCTTTCTGAAAACAAGCAAGCAAGCAAGTTAATCAGCAAGAAATCTCAATAACGAGACATTGTAGAGACTTCTAGTTTTTTACATTTGATCCGTGCTGCTCTATAGAAGAGCTGTATTGTTTTTATGCAAGGTAGGAACAGCCGTTGCTTCAGAAAAAGCAAAAAACTTTCCTTTCTTACAAATTTTTCAAATTAAAAGTTCACTGTGATTTTTTTTATCTTAAATTAAACTTTGGATGAAAAAAATTTTTTTGAGCAAAGAACCAAGAAGGAAATACATTTTCAATTTTGGACTAGGGGCGACCCTAGTCAAACTCAATTTTGTCACTTTTTTTCTTCGAAGGTTTATCCAATTGCAGTGAAACTTTGTGTGAGTATACTAATATTTATACAAAACAGTTTTAAATATCTAAAGCAAGAAATGTATTCTATATGTCGTCAGACCCAAATTTTATAAATTTGGTTGTACATTCAAAAACAACTCGACTTAAAATTTTGTACAAAAAAATGATTTTTTTAAATTCAGAAATGTGTGACCTGAGGATTGGATGCTCATACAAAGTTTTACTATATTTGGATTTATCCTCTAAGAAAAAAGTGAAAAACCAGATTTTTACTAAACCTGTCCCAAGTTCATAATTGAAAATGTATCTCCTACTTGGTTCTTTTCTCAAAAAAATTTTAGGATGTTTTATTTGTATTTGTTTTAAGCACTAGAATATTTATGCAAAGTTTCAATCTATTTGAATAAACCCTCGAAGAAAAAAGTGACAAAACTGATTTTGACTAGGGTCAACCCTAGTTCAAAATTGAAAATGTATTTCCTTCTTGGTTCTTTGCTCAAAAAAAAATTAAGGATGTTTTATTTGTATTTGTTTTAAACATTAAAATATTTATGCAAAGTTTTAATCCATTCGGATAAACCCTCGAAGAAAAAAATGAAAAACTAGATTTTGACTAGACCTGTCCCACGTTCATAATTAAAAATTGATTTCTATGGTGTACTTTGGTCAAAAAATTTTTTTGGATGTTTAATTTGAATTGATATAATGCTGACATAAATCACATACCAATATTACTTTTTGTAATGCATACCTTAAAAAAAATTGAAATCTAAAATTTCGACTGCCCCATCTGAATTTTGTTCATACTCTAAACTGTGGAAACCAAAAAACAAATTCTTTATCTTAAAACACTTGACAAAATAGCGACATAATTCAGGATTAATTACTTTTTAATAATGTTTTAACATTTACGAGAAAATGTGGTTCAAATAAGTGTGAAGTATGGCCGAGAATTGGACCAAAATCAGCTATACTGGTGCCAAGTAGCATTTGAAGCTCTTCTTTACTTGTAGATTCTAAAAAACGGCGGTGTAACAAACTTGCGTTTCTGTCAAGGGTGCAGAACTGATCAAAATAATCAAAAATTATCAAAATCTAATTTATCTGTTCCGCACCCATGGTTACTCTCCGGGCAATGACATTCTCTCTGGAATCCCAGAGACTTGCATTAACACTTTAACCTTAGTATACACTATAGTTTACTTGAGGTTAGGTTGTAGATTAGGATAAACCAAGAAACACGCACATAAGAACTTTGGGTCAACTTCATTCCTCAAAATTGTCCTGTCAATCTCCACTTCACATCTTAATATTTTCTGAATCACAGAACACCACAGATGAGGTTAACGTACATTAATATAGTAGTTTAAAATTCATAAAATAAGAAAGGAAATTCCAACATCTTTTAAATTGGTCTGTTCAATTACCAGACGCCAATACTAAGCTAGACCAAATAATAGCCTTATGTCTCCCCAAAAAAAAAATTATATTCATATCCTAACCAATCCCTCTCATTCATTATCCCCATAAATGCAAATTTAAGCCACAAAACCTAAATTATATCATTATCGCATAACTTCCTCACACGATACCCTCAAAAATGATTGAGTATAGGCGCCAAATAATCACAGCTGATGTTATAAATATCTCACTTCAAATAATTAAAAATATCTCACACATTCCAATTAGCAACAATCGCATTTCTATTTCTGTGCTAATGATTGATACAGGAACAACTTTTACAAAAAAATAAGCAGTCCTAATCAGCTGATCAATTATATTTAATATCTTAGACATGTGTACACGTGTTGAGCTATGAGTAATTTGTATATTTTGTAATACAGCGTGGTGATAGCTAGTCAAGCACAACAAATCAGTCGCTACGCAACACAAAATAAACAAAAAAATGTTTGCTGGATTTTTGGTATCCCGGGAAATATTGAAATATTTATTTTCGCACTTTAATTTTGTTTATCAATCATAGTAAGCAGTTTCTCATTCATGACAGAGCTATAAAAAAAATAAGTTTTTGTGACAGTTAAAGGAGGATATAAATAGTAACAGAAATGAGTAAAAATCGATGGGATAAAATTAGTAAAAAGTATGCCAATGATCCTGGCATTACATCGCAGGAAGTGAAGAAGTTTTTGGATATGAACTTTACGGATGGATATTTTGAGCAGTTGTGCGGTAGGAAGGAAGTTCGACGATTGAATCCGGCTTTGATTATGGATCTGAGGCATGATATTGTAAGTTTGGGATTACTTTTGCAAGAACTTTGGGTGCTGTAATGAAATATTGAGCTTAAAATTGCCCAAAATTAAGAGAGAAAAGTGTAAGGCACTTCTGAGTTGCCTCATATGTCTTTTGTCATGTCAGTCAGTGTTGTTGTTTGGATTTTAAACTTAACTATAGGAAATTAGCTTCAGAATTGTTTAAGATAAAGACCAATCCATTTCAGAAATAAATTTTGAGTTCAATGCGAGTCTTTACACTTCCAGGAACTCGTTTAAAACTAGACAGACCAAATTGTTGAAAGAAAGTCATACTTTTTGAATTAAATGGATTGAAAAAAGCAGTTATAATGCTGTTAAGGTACGCCTCATTAGTGGCTGCTAGATCATCAGCAATCTTCTGAGTTCTAAGCTTCTGAGTTGGAAAGAACATTATTTTTATAACTCTAACCCTAGCAGAAATTTACTAGTAACTTCCTAGTAATTTACTGGATAACTTTCCATTTGCTACTTGCTATTTACTAGTCAAAATCCAAGTTCAAATCTTCGCCAAAGACCCGCATTTTCACTTGCTAATTGACTAGTCAATTCGCTTACAATTTTACTAGTAATTTACTAGCAAATTTGTATAAAATTTAAATGAATATAACCGTTGATTTCCACGTGTTCTTTTGTTTTTTCTTATTTGTGTAAATTATTGTAAAAGTATTAGTGTGTACTTATTTTAAGTTAATTAAAGTACACTAACACTATGAAAAAAAATAAGACTTAATGTAATTAAGTCGAACACTGATCAACGCTCATGACTCGCACGCAAACCTGAAGAAGATAAATAATTAATTAAAAGTCAAATACAAATTTGAATCGAGCTTATAAAGGTGATTTCTGCGCGCTCTTGTGAAGTATATGCCAAATGCCAAATTTAGAACAATATTTTTTATGACGCAAACAATTCTTATTTTGATGATTTTTGGTAGGATTCGAACTTAAGCAGATTTGATCAAACATTTCACATGGTAATTTGCTAGTAATTTGCTATTAAATAGCAAGTGTAATAACTAGTAAATTGCAAGTAGTAGAATAGAAAGACTAGCAATTTGCTAGCTAGTTTCGCTAGAGTAAGCAATGCCTTAATTGACATTGATTCCACGACTTTAGTATTGGCTGGTTTTCTAGCTCTTATTTCGTGAGCATTTTATGAATTAAAACTTTTCAGAAATCAAGCTTTAGTGGGAATCGAACTCACGTCCTGTAACAAAAGAGGGACCTATAGATATCCAGTCTGTAGCTAAAGCATTCGGCCATAGACTGACATAGAGGTCATATTCTCGTTCTAGCAGCCTTGCGTATAAAAGGCTCAATATTCCACTCTACTCAGACACTATAACTCCCAAAGGTGACATTTATCCACAAAATATTCATCCCTAAAATTTAAATTTAATAAACTCGCAAGTTGTCTCACCCTTGAATCAATTCCAACGACTTCTATAAAAAAAAATAAAAAATTAATCAATAACAATTTTTAGATCAAAAATCGCACCGAAGACTCGCCACAACATGCAAGCAATAAAAAGAGGGATAACGGCACAATAAATAAATTTAAATTGCAAAAGGAACTGAACATGGAAAGTATTCGAAACCATAACAACCTTGTCGACTCACGATTGATTGAGAATGAATTGGAAAAATTTAAACTTGAAATTCGTAAGTTGAGGACGACTTCATCGAAGAAATCGGAAAAATATCAAGACAGTTTGGATGAATATGAAGACCCAGAGGAAACAAAATTATTGAGTGCATTGCGTGACACGGAGGAAGCGACTTTTGCTTATCGGAATGAATTCAATAAAATTGTCGTTGAAAAACCGAATTTATTGCAAATAAATCATTTTGAATTTAGCTATGATGAAGGAAGTGCATGCAGTGAATCAACAGCTGAACTGTCTGAAGATTCACTTGACAAATGCTCAAATTTAAACTTTATTAAAATCTCAGCACAACCAAAGCCAACAATTCAAATTGAAGAACTTGATGAGTATCAAGATTATTATGAGATTAATGAAGATCCAACAAAATTTAATGTTGAGGATGAGACTGAAAAGCCATATGATCCAATGTGCTATGTCTGCTGTACTGAAGATAAATGTGAGTTCCAAAAGAATGAATTTGAGACTCAATCGTTCTACAGCTTGCCAAATTTGAGTGAAAATGATGTCGAGCACTTGATGAGAATCACAAAATTCCAATCCTTAATATCTGTAGAAACTCCAACAATTAAAGACTGTCGATGCTGTCCACCATCAGCTGATGTAAAGATTAAACATCTTGATAAGTCAATCGAAGAAGCTGAAGCTGAACGACTGCTTATTATCCGTCGAATGGAACTAGAAGAGAAAAATTATCAAGAACTGATTGTTAAGACAGACGCTCAATCTAAAAACATCAGTGATCCATCATCAAACTACGTCTACGATAAATACATCAGTGACTTGATCAATGAGGATCAAATGACATCACAAAAGGAATTCGAGCGTGAAATGCTGAGAAAGTCCTTCAAAGACTGGCTCCAAAAGACAACAATCTCAAAAATTCTCAAAACGAATGCTTTTAACAACGAAGATCGTGTTAAAAAGATTAACGAATTTCTCAATAAAGTTCGATTTGAGCACAATAAAGGACACATCAGCAACGAGACGAATAAGAAGAAAACTGGCAAGCATGAGAAATCAAAGAAGTCTTCATCAAAAACCGTCCGTAAAGATTTTGAGAATAAATTAAAAGTTCAACAAGACATAATTGAGCTGCAAAAGCTGAAAATTCAGCGACAAGAGCGATTAATCACCGAAATGAAATTGGCAAAATTCACCGAAATGGTAAAGGAATCAAAGAATGATCTCAAAATGGAATTGATCAATGCAAAGCGTACGAATACAAAATTGCGTGCGAAGGCACGTTGCATTGAGATGGTTGCGAACATACCGCCTGATCCGATTGAAGAAGAGCGTAGAAAATTATTAGCGCAAGGTCTTATGGTTCCGAAATTTTTGCAAAAAATGCAAGAGCGTGCTGCTGAACGTCTTGCACGTCATGAAGAAGCTCGCGAGCGTCGTGAACGTTTAGAGTATGACAAGGAGGAAGCGAAAAATGTTGCTGAATTGGCTAAACGAATGGAAGATGAGGAGGCAAAGAGAAAGCGATTTTTGGAGATGCGCGAGAAGCGACGTCAAGAAAAGTTTGCTAAACAATTGAAGGAACTTGAACGACAGCGTATGGTGGAGAATATGAAAATTGCACGTGATCATTATGCTCGAAATTTAATGAAACGTATTGGATTTCGTGCTTTTGAATTGGCTATAAAGATGAAACGATTGAATCATAAAAAGGCAACAATTCATCGACGTCGTGTCTGCATGAAGAAATTCTTTAATTTATGGCAGAAAAATACAAAGGTTGTGTGGGATATAAAGCGAGCACAAGCAGATAAATTATATAGTTATTTGACTTATCGAATGTACTTCAAGCATTGGCGTCATGTCCACTCCATTCATCAATCCAAATTCTTAGTTGCCATTGATTGGTACGAGGTCAAAATGTCTGAAAAGCTTTTTTATCGATGGATTCAATTTGCCGAGGAGAGTAAGATGGTTGAAGGTACCAAAATGAAAAATGCAGAAGCTCACTATAGTTGGTAAGTTGATGTTGTATTTAATGTGTGGTTGTGTTGGCTTAGCAGATGATGCTATATAGACATTAGCTCGAATGACACAAGTCGGTTAATCGATTAGAAATCGGCACCAAGCCAGTGTGAATCTGGCATGATGCTGGATTTAAATCGAAACCAGCATCATGCCAGAGTCGTACTGGCTAGGCGCCGAAGTTCTATTGGATTAATTGACTTGGATAATAGGTTATAGATATAATATTGATTAAATGATCTCAGACGAATTTAGTATTTATTCAAGGGTTCTTTAAATACCAGATGATTCTACTTCATAGAATCAGTTTATTAGACTGTGGCTTTAATGCTCTTCTGAAGCTTGATCACTGATTCATAAAAATATATCATTGCTATAAATTTGTTTTGGGATACCCTGTTTTTTCGTTATAAGCTACTACTCGTTACTAAGCTCCAATAACATCACTGTATATCCAGATTACCTCTTATCAGTAGGTTGTCCAACTGCACATTTTTGAGCAGAACAGTCCCGCTTTTTTGAACAAAGTCCCTCTTAAAATCCTTAAAGTTACGCTTTATTGAACCTATGCTTCTTGGAAAATATTTGAAAATTTGGTTTGTCCCGATTTTTCAGAGCCTAAATCAGGACATACCCGTCTTTTTGACCAAAAATCGATGATCAGTCTACTCATCAGACTATTTAAGACTGTATATTAATGTTTAATTCCTTTAATTCTAGTCAAATGAAATGGAAGCTCTTTGACGCTTGGCATCGGTTCCCAGCCTTAATGAAAATTGAACGCGAGACTGAAGTGCGACGTCAGAAATGGCGTATGAAAATATGGGATTTACTTCCTGATTATAAACCACAGGACGCACCTTAGCTATCAATTGACGACTCGTTCATTTAATAATCAAATAATCATAAACAGCTAGTTTGGCATCATATATGATTATTTATGACTAATTATTGTGGATTTTTTATCGTAAACTGGAATAATTCTATTTTTATACTGCATCACATCACACAAAACTTTGTAATCCCTTTAATATTATGTGCAATAATGGCAAGTGTTTTGTAGTCGTTTTGTAATTCTGTCACTAGAATAATGATGTGTGGCACACGAATGGAAATAAAAGGAATTTTTAATTTACCACAAAATTTACCTCCTCGTTGTGTACAGACTCTGACCATACAGATATAATGACACACAAAACAAACAGCAACTTGATGATGATTTAAATATCTCACATATCCGTAATGTATTCATTATTCAAGGAAATCATTTTTCATAACAAAATCGTGATCATCATTGTCATTTAATCATTTTTTTTTGCAATTATATTGTAAAATGAAGACAAGCATATAAAGTTACATGGAATACGACAACAAGCATGGACAATGAATTGAAGAATTTTATGCAAATTTTTTCCCATCTACAATGCTTAATTAATTTTTTTCTGTCTAACATCAAGACATGAAAAATTTGTACTAGGGTCACGTCAAGGGCCTAATTTAAATTTTAATAACTTTTGTTTTTGACAAGTTCTAAAACATTTTTGTTCGTATGTAACCAGATGCTGCCCTTAACTGTATGGTAGACGTGATCAGAATCACTTTGGCAGTCGCGTTCCGCTTATAATTTTTATTTCTTAGAATTACAAACGAAATTTCCTTGACTCATTTGTATTGTGAGAGGTGATATTCTATATAAAAGAATTGCATGCATGCTGAATTGCATGACAAACTATTAAAAAAATTTAAACTAATTTGCATTGAAGGTTTGATAAAATGCAGGTTGAGTTTTGGATGTTAAAAACGATGTTCGATTTAAGAAGAAGCTTGATTTAATGGAATTATTTATGAGTCTGAGGATTTAACATGATCAGAGCCAAGGCGTGGAAACTAAAACCAAATATCCCATTTATCCCAAAAATATTCAAAATAATCCCTGAGCCTGTATGCATTAGAATTGAGATATCCCATCATATCCTGAAATTACACGTCCAATACACTAAGGATACGTTGGGATATCTTTATTATCGTGCATACAAGCTCAGGAATTATTTGATATTTTTGGGATATTTGGGATAGTTTCCACGCCTTGATCAGAGCTGATCTAAGCGCTTAGACTTCTAATACAATTTGAATTAACTGAGAATTCAACAGCTCTATGACATAAAGTTTAAAACCTAGCAATTAAAAATGGTTCAAAAACTTAATTCTCAAAATTAAAACCAATATTCTATAAAGCTACAAACTTAATAATAAAAAACCTTTTAAACATTTTTCACCAGCATGATTACAATACCATAATCGACTACTTAAAATTACACCAATTAATTTTCTATATCATTTCAACATAACAATAACAAGCTTTTGTCAGTGAATGGTAAAACAAATGTCTATGCTAAAAACCATTAAATCTTATTAAGGCACACAAGTCGGTTCTTTGTGAACAGAGAATGAAAAAATAAAAGTTGCAAAATATCCCTAATTTATAAATGAACCAGCCTCCTGCTTAGCCATGCTCAATTGAATATCGATTGCAAATTAAAAATCCATATACGCTTAGCACACTCATGTCCAAAAGCCCAACCAGATATCATTAATAACAGAAACAGTGAGCAAAAAAAATAAATAAATTCCTTGAATCAATTGATTCATGTCATATCATTCATAAAGATAAATAAATGAGCAAAGTCTGGCGTCTTGAGACTCCAAATTACCATCAGTAATTCTTTATGCCATTAGACACACTCAATGATATAATGAAGAATCTAAATGTTACGTAATTTTAGCAGACTTTTGCTTAAAGGGTAAATGAGCTACTGTTTGCATCATTTCTGTTTGTCTGTTCATTTGGATCAATTGTGTGAGTTTTTCAGATTGTAATTCTGTGTATCAGCTAGTCCCACAGTTCAGATATGTGCCTCTTCAGCTATGCGTTTCCTCAGCTGTGCGTCTTCTCAGCTGTGCGCTACTTCAGCTATGCGTCTCTTTAACCTTGCGTCTTTTAAGCTGTGCACCACTTCAGCTGCATGTATCTTCAAATATACATCGATCTGGCTGTAAATCATGGCTGTGTGTCAGTTCGACTGAGTGTCATTTCAGCTGTACATCAGTCCTGCTGTGTGACTGTGCCTCAGTTTGCTATCAGACTGTCAGACTGGCAATCCGTTCATTTATCTATGTCTTAGTCTACTAATTCATCCACCAGTCTATCAGTCAAGATTGAAAAAGCGCTTTTATCACTAACGAGTGTCCAAGCCTACACTTACTTGTCATAAGGTACTCAAAAAAAAAGATGAGAATTTGAAAATTTGTTGGAATTTCAATTAGCTGACGGTACAAGTATTTTATTATGTCCATCCGTTGAGCAGCAAAAAATAAATGTTTCCAAGATCAACAAGATTTGAGCTTGAAATAAAAATAAAATTGAGAATTTCTCTCGCGCTCTCGCCATTCTTCAAGTTGTTTTTTCGTCTAGCTGCGCTCAACTCAACATCTCTCATCTCCATCTCCACACAGCAGTATTGTGCCTTATTTTCAATATGAATAAATTTTTTTTCTTCACTTCTTGTTTTTATAATCGACAAAAATTGCAAAGTTGACGTTTAGTTTAAGCACAGCCATCGAACGGAGTGTGCATATGCACGAGACTTATTTATTTTTTTTGTCGTTTCTTTGTCCTTACCTGAGTGCCTCTTAAACTGTCTCTTCATTAATTATGTTATTCTAAATAAGTTTTTTTGTTTTCTGTTGTGTGCCAAAAAAACTGGTATTTTTTGAATCTGAAGAATCTGAAAGCTACTAAAGTGAATTTGAATAGTTGTTGTGGCTAGCAGCAAGTGCACAAAAAAAAATTAATAATAAAAATTCTGAAGTGAAATACGAAATTAAATTAGCAAAATAAAAACTATTTCAAGCAGAAGAGAAAGAAATATTGGAAATCCTTTAAAGGTAAAAAGTTGTTTTTTAAATGTTGCATAATATTGCATATTGAAAGTTTCGGATTTGAATATTTTTACCATACAAACTCTGATTTTGCTTTGTTTATAGTCGAGTTTATGGATTTCTACAAAGCTGCGAATTTTTTTAAAACAAAACAAAACTTTGTGATTTTTTTGTGCATATTTTCAAGCTTACCAGAATGGCACAAGTCGGTTAATCAGATAAAAATCCGGTGCTGAGCCTCAATGACTCGAGCTTTGATTTAAATCCAGCACCATGTCAGAGTCACACCAGCTTAGTGCCGGATTTCTGATTGATTAACCAACTTGTTCCATTCTGGTTAAGTTCTTCAAATCCTTGAATATTCTGTATAATCCTTGCGATTCTTATGGGATAAATAAGGAACAATTTATAATGAATTCAAAATGTCAAGAGTTGGTTTCGTAAAATCCAAAATATAAATTGAAACTTGTTGATATTTTAAACCAGTGGGAAATTATCGATTTACAAACTTTCAAACCAATTTCAAACTCCTATCGCAAATTGTTGTTTTGATAAAGAAGCACAATATCAGATCAAATTCGAACTTTTCAATCAAATTGATCAAATGAATGGTTTAAGGTTTATGGAGATTGATGGTTTAAGTTGATCTGTTTTTCAAAAAAGTTTATTTTAGCAATTTTGATTATTAAGGATTCGACTTTATATATTTTTGTTTCTTAGTTTTTGCTTTAATTTCAAACAACTACAATTCTGGAGTTTTATAATCCAAATCAACGTTTTTTGTCATCAAGAAGTTTGAATGAAAAAACTTTTGAAATTTTAGAATCAATTAAATTCAAATTAATTGGTATTAAATGTAGTTCTTAATTAAACATCAATAATTCGTCAATCTACAATTCCATACCTAAATTCACATAACCTCCAACCCATTAAACCATAGATAATGTGAACATGCTCATAACCTTTTAGTTTTATTTCATTGCAATCTCATTAAATATACATTGTGATAAAAATTATTTGTCTCTGGCAGGAGAAATTATACAATGCAGTCAAGCATTTGCAAACCCATGGCTAGTAAATTACTAATCAAAGTGTAATTATTATGATTATTTTCTACTGCTGACTATGACTCTGTTGTTCAATAGTGATGTAATAATGTGATTTTTCTAATACTTCCTTTAAGAAATGTTTAAAAAAGTGTCATTTTTATTGAGTATTGACTAGAGTTGTCCAGATCAAGTTCACATCAGATTTAGGATGCACTTTTAATCTTATTTGAAATCTAAACTATTCACACTTATAGTTCAAGTCTCAAACAAGCCTGAACGATACAAATATTATGAATTGAATTCATAAAGCTCAATTAAAGGACAATGCTGGGAGTTGAGAGGCTTCGAACCCCTTTAAAATTGTTAAGAAGTCTAGTCTTCGATTCCTTTGCTTCGCCCAGCAATATACATAGATTCCATATGATTTTAATACTGAATTCTCAAATCAGAAGGCTGACTGCTTTGGCTACAAGATAAAAAGTTCATAACCAAAGCGGTCAGCCCCCGTAAAAACTATCAATCTACTCTAGTCCATCAAACTTATTAGTTGATGTGGATATCAAAAAACAATTCATAACTTGCCAACCCAACTACCTTCAAAACCAAAACCTCCTTTAATTTATGATTGAAACATATCGTGTCTTCTCTACTTTCAATCTTCAGGCATTATTACGACCATCCCTATGTAATAATAAAATTATAAAAAAAATGTACAATTATAAAAACTTAAAAATGGCAAATCGGAAGACATTAAGCAATAAAGATAAAGAAATCTGCATGATTCATTCAAAAATCATTTCAAACAATGATGACCGTAAGAGTAAGTAGAGAAGAGAAAATAAAATGAAATAATAATAATAACAATCATAATTATAATAATCATAAGCAATATAAAGTCTTTGCAATTTATTATTTATATATTTGAATGGAAACAATAGGGAAAAAGAGTAAATAAGCTAAGACAGTAGACACAACAGTCGAGTCAATTGGACAGTAATGTTCATGGAGATAGTGAGAAGTTGAAACAATAAGAAAAGAAAAGTGAGGAAGAAGCATTAAATAAAATAAGTTTTCGACTGCACTGCATGCAAAGATTTTTCAAAAGAAAGTGAAACTCTTTTTTTCTTCTTGTGCTCAGTAGAAGATGTATTTTGAGTAGCGATAGAAGCTTGTTGGAATGTTATTGGGATGGATGGTATGAGCGCATGTTTGAATCTCAAAAACAATATTTAAAAGCCATTTTTCCAACCGTTAAAAATTTAAATACTTGACAGTCGTTAATATTCAAATTTTTGACAGTCGTTAAAACTCAAATTTTGATAAGAGTTAAAATTCAAATTTCTATTAACTGTTAAAATTCAAACTTCTTACAACCGTTAAAATTCAAATTTTTGACAGTCGTTTAAATTCAAATTTTTGACAGTCGTTAAAACTCAAATTTTGATAACAGTTAAAATTCAAATTTCAATTAACCGTTAAAATTCAAACTTCTTACAACCGTTAAAATTAAAATTTTTGACAACAGTTAAAATTCAAATTTTTGACAGTCGTTAAAACTCAAATTTTTGACAGCCGTTAAAACTCAGAATTTTGTCAACAGCTCAAAGTCAAATATCTCTTGTTCAACCGTTAAAATTCAAACTTCTTACAACCGTTAAAATTCAAATTTTTGACAACAGTTAAAATTCAAATTTTTGACAGTCGCTAAAACTCAAATTTTGACAACAGCTAAAATTCAAATTTCTATTAACCGTCAAAATTCAAACTCCTTACAACCGTTAACATTCAAATTTTTGACAACAGTTAAAATTCAAATTTTTGACAGTCGTTAAAACTCAAATTTTTGACAGCCGTTAAAACTCAGAATTTTGTCAACAGCTCAAAGTCAAATTTCTCTTGTTCAACCGTTAAAACTCAAATTTTTGACACCCGTTAATATTCGAAATCCATAAAAATCGTAACATAACCCTGTAAAGCTCAAAAGTGTCTGACAATTACTATAAAATTTCCAGACAAACTGAAACCCCAGCAATAAATTAACAATCCCATTACCCAGTATTAAAGCAAGATACAATAACATAAAAAGGTAAAGATAAACCAAAAATCGGACAGAAGTATAAAGAGGAAGCAGCAACATGAGAAGCATAGAAGTCAAAAGAAGTGAAACTTTTTACAAACTTTTGTTTTCAATAAGAAAAAAAAGCACTCAAAAGAGATAATGGAACATGCTGACGATTTCGTAATGTGCGATTTTCTTGTTCCACGTCGAGTCTCAAAAGAATGTGTGAAGATCGCCGCAAATAGCTTTAGTAAAAATTGAGTATAATGTGTATTAAGTAATATAGCCGTACAAATGTCTCGTGCATTGATTCTCTGCCGTTGACCTTTAAAGCAAACCGCATTCGTTGTGATTAACAATAAAAATAATATTTTTATTAAATTCTCGATTAAATATAAAAATTATAATGACTAGTAAGCGCGCTAGTCGTAGCTACCTTAGCATAATTAACATATGTGTGCTTAAGGTCTTTGTGCTATTGATGCGCTCAACAACAAGTGTGATGCACATCACATTATCATCATTTATTTATTGTTTATGACTTGATGCTTATTGCCTTCGCATGTCGTGACAAAATAAATAATGTTAATTTTTAAATGCATGTGAAAATGTAATAAATACCTGCAACATTTTCGATGATAATAATTATGACAATCATGATTCATTATGTTATTCATTCACGTGCATGTCAAGCTTTGTCGTATGTTGCTAGTTTGTCAATGAAATAACTTGATGTTGTGGAATTCCAGTCGTTCTTATTCTAAGACGTCATTTTGAGGGAATTTTCTAGGTGGCAGGTTGATTAGCTGTGGTCTGGGGAGGGTTTAAGGCTTGGGGAGCGTAGGAATAGAGTAGAAACTTGAGTACCAGCCATATGTAGACGTATCTGTCAATGCAAGGGCTAGACTTCGGTGGCCGAGTGGTTATACAACATACTAAAATTCCTTCAACTTTCTATGTTAAGAAGGACGTGAGTTCGATTCTCATCAGAACCTGAACTCTCAAAAATTACATTCCTACAGTTGGATGTTCGAATCCTCTCAAATACAAGGAACAATTCTAAACAAAGAACTAGATTAATTAGCTTTGCATATTAAGAATCGTTTGTGTTCAAGCATGAATTCTATAGAAAGACAGCAATAAAATCCATTCATACCAACTTAACATTAGATTTCTACTATAATTCATCCAATTTTATGGTCCATGAATAAGCATATGCAAATTGAAAGTCGGCTTCCATACAAAGAAGGAAGAGCTTCTCCAGGAAGCTGCCACAATAACTTAAAATCTAGAAACTGTAATAAAACATGAAATGTAAGGAAGTTAAGCCAGTCAAGTAATGAAAATGAAATTAAACCATAACCGAATTCATGTCCATCATTATCTTCTTCTTGCTTGAAATTCTTTAAGTATGTCGAATGGATCTAAAAATAGTCAGAATAAGATGCGGAATCTTATATTAATTTTAATTTTACAGTGGCCCTCACGAGAGGCTTATTAGTGCTGTTTCGCAAGTGGATAGATACTTTAAGGATGGAAATGGTTATTAACGGACATAAAGTGCCTTTTTAAAGAACAAAAAAAGTTGATTGATTCATTAATGTCATCAGATAACTTGATTAAGCTATTTTAGAAGGCAAAGTACATGCTCTTCAGAGGGTAATTTAGAGATGTTGAGGAACGAATCGTTTGAGAGGCTTTGAAGATCTTGTCTAAGACTTTTGATAGTAATTACACAGATTTAATATTTTTAAAAGACTATAACTTAATAGAGCTAGCTTCAGCATATGAAAGTGACTAGATTCACAATTTCATCAATTAAAATCTTCATTACCCCAACCTTGCATGCAAAATCTTCGAGATCATGAACTATAAAAATAACCTCTCAATTTATTTTC